AAGCTTTCCCTTTTTAGTTTTTCTTGGACAACTTTGTTGTACCAACTTCAAAAGGCCATAACTCCTTCATTTCGGATCCAAATCAGGTCATTCTTGAGTCTAAATTCAAGATCTTGAAGTTATCTTTCCAATGGTACCAACCACATACCAAAACTCCAACTGTAGTGAGAGTTATCACAATTTTAGTACAATAGGGTCGTGGTATCTCTTAAACAGAGAATGCCACTTTGTTCTATCTTCATATCTTTTTCGTCCGGATTTCGAATCAGGTGATTTTTGAGTCTAATCTTGTTAATTTTTTGTTGTCTTTCCAATGGTGTGCACGGTGGCACCCATTTCAGTTTGAAATAACCATTTTACCCGTGGTTCATTTCTTATCGGGTTTGAAATCCTTACTTCAGTACTTGACTCATTTGAGTTCCTTGGCTTCATGGAGAGTCATTTTGGTGCCTTAGGGATGAAGTTTACATCTTTTGCTTCAGCATTTCGGATCCGTTATCGGATCATCTTTGGTTCATCACACTCGCCGTCCGCCCCCGCGTACAAACTTCAACATCACTACCACCACCACCACCACCACCACCACCACACCATCTACAAGCACCCACAATAAAACATTTGTATTCTTTTTTTTGGTTAACTAGTTAATTTGAATTAGTTCATGTTAGGAAATAAAATTAACAAAAACACCTCAATGGGGATCGGTCATGGACTTTGGGTTAGTAAATTGGGAACTTTTGGCTTGATGCATCTAAAAATGTTAAATATTACTGCTAGATGATGGACTATCATAAGTTGATGTTTGAGGGTGTGGTGATGGTGGTGATGTTGATATCAGAATGTATATGGCGTTGGTGGCCACCTTTGGCGTAGGGATGGAAAGAGCTCTAGGGCGCTAGGCTCTTGTTGGTCCCTAAGATGCCTATGCCTATCTTGAGTTTGCTCTTTTAATGACAACGTGAAAGTAAAAGGGTTTAATGAAATTTGATAATGTTGCAGTGATGTGTTGGGGTGTGATCAAGAGATGTTTAGCATGTGGTGGAAGGTTACTCATTGAAATATCAATTGACAAAGGTACATTACTCACAGAATGTATCAAGAATGTCATTGCAGCCTTTGAAACTTAGAAATTCTGTAACAGCATACTTAATGTGCCTATAGCCCTTAACAAGGGCATTTCTGTCTTTATACACACTCTAACAGTCATACTTCATTTGCCTGAGAAGCTACATTGTGCATTTGAGCTCATATTTACAATGTGACAGACCAATCACATGATCCAAAACTAAAACATCAGTGTGTTTTTGAGTGGACTGTCAAAAGGCAATTGCAGGGGTATTTGGGTAATTCTGTATGGTTGCACAATGCTGACACATGCATAATGGTCCTGGAATGAGAGACTATTGCCAGCTTTACATTTCTTGGTGCTCAAGATCAAAAAAGGCAATTCTGATATATATAATTATTCATTGATATTGTGAGCTGATGTATACACTACAAAGTGAGTTGGAAAGGGGGTAAAAGGGTATTTTCACTGTGACAATGTCAGAATAGCTTTCCTCACGGATAGAAGGACCTCATCTCAATCCTATCCATTGGTTTTAGGGTTGCATCATTAAGGGTTTGTGTATAAATGCAATGCTATAGCTGCCTGCCTCTTGTGAGCCTAAAAACACAACTTTCATATGTAAGAGAGGTTGTTCTTGAGTGAAACATGAAGAGGACCAAAATGTCTGTTTCTGAGTAGTGATTTAACTATATAAGCTTAGTTTAAATCTTAGAAAATAACTGTGTGAGTAAAAGAACCCTTGAAGACTTACAAAGAATTAAATGATGCTGGTGTAGTAACTAAAATAAGGCTGTTGTCAAGGCTGATTTGGGGGCTAAGGTGATTGCAGAGGCTTGAGGTGCTAAGTGAAAGCTGAAGCAAGTTCAATACATCTATTTATCACTGCTGAAATCAGGTATTAGCTCAAATTCACACATCTGCAAAATATAGTACCTCAGAGCTGGTTGTTTGTGTTTTATGTGATGAATTAGCTGCTGTGGTAAAATGTATTGATTAAGCCTGCTAAGAACTAAGTAGTCAACATCTGAGCATGTGTAACTTGATGATTTAAAGTTGTTAAAGTTGGATAAATCTCAGAAAATTGATTGGTTTCAGTAGTGACCTTCAGCACCACACTATACTATGGTTTTTAGTTTAAATAGCTGTGAATTGAGAACTAAAAATGAGATACCATGTTTTTATCATTGTGATCCACACTTGAACATGAGTATAATGTTTATACAAGACTGTGAGAAGCTAAACTAACCCTTGGTAAAGTCGAATTTCCAAAATTGCCCCTTGAATCAGTGTGTTGTTGTTCTCAGTTTAAATTAGTCTGTTGTGTGCTGTGAGCCTCTGAAATATACATTGAACCTCTATATCTTGCTTGGTTTTTGAAGCCACTATGTTGAGCAAGTATAAAGGAATGTTTGGGAGTTGAGATTGCAGAAGTTTAACTTGAATTATGGAGCTATATTGTCTGAATACTATTGCTGCTACCAGAAGTTTGACAGCTGAGATTAAACTGTTTTGGAGTTGAATTTGTTATATTTTGCTTTGAATAATGTTTTCATCATCTGTGTAAGTATATTATGGTTGTATGAAGCTGTGAGAACTTGAATTAGAACAAGTCTCAGGTGATTTGACTGAATTACCCCTACAAGCTTATAAGCAAGGGTTAATGTGTTCCAAGTCTTTTGAGAATTGAAATTGTGATATATTGCTCTATTAATTGTTCTATTCATTAAGAAAGACTGTGTGAAGATAACAAGGCTTTGGAAACAGAGAAAGGGACTATATTGAAGCAATTCACTTAAGTGACAAATATACCCTTGAAGAGGGTTTGAAGTTTATCTAGCAACCACTGAGGTTATACTTGCTGTTCATTGTTGTAAACTGCTGAGAATAAGTTCATTGTGCTAAGAGAAGGCTATAGGATCCTAGTATAAGTATCATTTGAAGTTGTTGTGTGTAATTGAAGAAGTACCCATTGATTGCAGAAGAGAGCAAGCTAGGGTTTCACTTTGGGTTACTTAAGGCTGTGTATTGCATTCCTATTTTGTATTGCAGCTCAAGTTCATTGTATTTGGTGTATTGACACTTTATTGTAAATGGTAGTGAGGCTTTGATACCTCACCCCATTGTTGACTAAGCTATTAAAAGCTTTGGAGTCCAAGCAAGGTTGCTTAGGACAAGGGGAGTGCATGTGTGCACATTGGTGAACTAGTGTATGAGTATTGGCTGTGAAAACTAGTGTCTGTTCTTATACAAGAGAGTGTGCAGAGAGTGAGACAGCAGAGTGTGTAACAAAGTACTTGTAGCTAGTGGATGATTTATTGGCTAAGGCCAAGAACCAATGTTTTCCTTATTGAGAGGGTTTTCCTTGTAAACCTTGTGTTATGTGTTTGACTTATGTTTGATTGGTTTTAGTTTCATAAAGAAAAGGATTTAACAGACCAATTCACCCCTCCCCTCTTGGTCTAACAGCTCTTCATCTTCTTCTTGTTCGGTTATAGTCGCAAGGTTGGAAGTTTCTTTATGGTCTTCCCTCTCCCTGTAAAGCGCGGGTGCGGGGGAACAAGAATTCCTGGACTTCTGCTCAAACAGAATGAATATTTGCTCACCTTTCAGGCCCCCAGGAACTTCTTTTGGAATGTTTTTCAAATGATTTACGAAAAAGTGGAGTTTGGTTTTTTAATTTTTTTTGCTAAAGGTCATTTTGGTCAAATAAAATGACTTATAAAGGTTAATATTATACTTTAATAATTTAAATGGGCCAATTCAGTCAATTATGTACTCTTATCATTGTTGTGGTGTTGTTCAAGTTTACAATTTTGGAGGACAATTAAATCACACTCTCCCTAAGTTATATCTACGTGTATTTATTGTAAATTATGATGGCAAATTACCCTATAAAAAAAAAAGGACAAGTGTATAAAACAACCCTAAAATATACTCCGCGTAACACTTTTACCCCTATTTGAATAGTGTGCAAAAAATATCCCCAATCTTTTCACAATGTGCAAAAATACCCCATATGACATAAATTAGTGCTATAATACCCATTTTGCCCTTTTACTCTTCCGAATATGTTCAAGGGGGTATATATGTTACTAATTTCATAGTATAAGGGTGTTATGTGCACATTACTGTATATATATTTTTGAAACTTTTCTCTCTCTCTCTATATCTCCAAACATTTTTTTTTCTCTTTTCTACTAAATTTTTTTTCTTTATTTTACTTTTTTCGTACCAACACTGTTAAACAAAAAAAAAAAAAAAAAAAAATCCAAATATCAGTGTGCATTAGTTTTTGGAGTTTGAATTTTTTTTTTTTTGTTTTCTTTAGTGCACTTTATTTTTGTTTTGTATTTTGTATTTTTATCTTTACTTTTCTTTTATATTTTATTTTTATTTTATATTTTTATCTTTACTTGTCCATGATCAGCGGTCTCCAATAATATCATTTTCAGTTAGTTTATAAAATTATTTATTTTTATATATTTTATAAAATGGTTTAGTAAGAGTAATTTAGTCAACTTATGGTTTAAATTTGTCAGAAAGATACCAGATTAAAACTTTAGGGGTATTTTTTGCATGAGAGGGACATCCTCCACCAATAGTGTCATTTTCGGTTATTTTACAAAATTATTTATTTTTATATATTTTATGAAAATGTTGAGTAAAGGTAATTTAATCAACTTAAAGTTTGAATGTGTCCTATTTGCACGGAATGGAAACTTTAGGGATATGATATTTTTATCTTTACTTATATTTTTATCTTTATTTTTAGCAATCCGAAAAACAAAACAAAATGTGATCCCAAACGCGATTTTGCCACGGAGACTTTCTTTATGAAATGGAGAAGAAAACTGAAAATGAGTTATAACTTCCAGCCAAAGTAGGCCCAAGAAAAAAGAGCCCAATTTTGCGTCTTATCCATATATTTTCCTGGAAAACATTAAATCACCGAAAATGCCCTTGCACAAGAATTGGACATTCTGAACTATTCCCTCGTCTCCCCTCTTTTTCTCTGTAATGCCGCACCTTCTCTTCCATCGACCACCACCGTTGATTATTCACCATCATAATCATCATCATCATCCTCCACAACCCATCATCGATTCTTTCCAGAGATGTCAATGTTCGGTCACGCCCAGAAGATTTGCGCCGTTGATTCACTTACCCAAGTCCGTCGGAGTGTGGAGTCCGTCGCAGAGGATTGCGACGACAAGGTGTATGGCGAATCAGAGGAGAGTAAAAATGGTGGCGAAGCAGATAAGGAGAGAGCTCTCGGACATGCTTCTCACTGACAAGGTCTTGCAGTTCGCCGTACTCCCCGAAGCCGCTCTGGGCGCCGATCGCTATCTCTCTTCTCTCACCACAATCAGTGACGTCGTAGTCTCCACTGATTTGCAGGTAATTTGTTACACTTGACCTAACCCTAGTTTCAAATTATGAATATGAGCTGTTTTCATTTTAAGTTTTATTTTGAATTTCGAATTGTGTGTATATATTTGTATGTATATGTATTTTTGGATGCATTTACATTAAAACTGATAATCTTTGCTATTCTGTTAATCTAATTTCCATTTTGTTTTGCGTGAATTACCCCAACATGATAGAATCACCATCACTCTGATTCTGTTTGAAATTGTAAACAACTAAACGAACATTGAGTGAACATTTATGTAATACGTAGTTTATGATGTTTGATCAGAATATAGTTGTCAATGACCTACAAGGGCTGCAAATGAACGGAGCTGTTCACAAACAGCTCAGGTTCGGCTAGTTAAAAGCTTGGTTTAGGCTCGAGCTCATTTTTGAATTCTTATCATTAACTCATGAACAAGCTCATTTATCTAAAGGGCCATAATATTTCAAATTCTTATATGTAAAAGCCTAAACCAAATATTGCAATTTTAGCCCAAATTCACAAATCTTTACCAAGCTCAGTATTTAAAATCCCATATGCAAATAAAACCCATTAGCCCAACACTCATTTTTCATCTCATAGCCCAACATTCATTTTTCATCTCAGCCATTAGATTATGGAATTTTTTTTTGGATAACTATAAATTATGGAAAATGATTCTTAGGCCGATTAAAGTGAATTGTCTGACCTACAAGCTTTGATTGGTCATGTATGCAAAATATAAGGAGGTGAGACCCTCCACTTTCTTATATTAAGTGAAGATGACCATTCAAAAACTGTAAGTTGGGCCTGTTTGGCTAATGCTTTTGCTTCGTATTTTTTACTTTTGCTAGTGTATTGTAACAAAGCAAAAACACGAAGCATGTTTGGTAACGTTTGCTTTCATTTGAATAATACTGAAGCACTTCCAAAATTGAGACCAAAATTGAAAGCATCAAAATGATGCTTTTGTTTGCTTCTACACTGTAGCAAAGCACTGTTCAAAAAAAAAAAAAAAAAAAAAAAAAAAATTTTCCTTCGAAATTAACATTTTTAACTAGTCATTCAAATTTTCAAACTTGCAGCACTTTTTACCAAACACACTTTTACGTTTTTGATTTCAAAAATCTTGTAACAAATTTACGTTACCAAACAAGTTTTGAAATAGTATTGAACAAACTCTAAAGCGGAAACATTGCTTCTGCTTCGTGTTTTTTGCTTTTGCTAGTGTACTGTAGCGAAGTAAAAGCACAAAGCATGTTTGGTAATATTTGCACGAAGCAAGGTGTTATTTATGTTATAAACAAGTTGAAACTTTGGACCATGTGTTCTCTAGTTGTATCTATACTTGGAAAGTGTGGAGTTTTCTTTCTGAAACTTGTGGGTGGAATTTGCATAGAAGTTTAGGTGTTCAAGACCTGGCAGATCTGTTTATCTAGAACTCTCAAAGGAGAGATATCAAGAAGATGGCCAGAATAAGCTACATTGCTACTTTGTACTTTCTATGGTGGGAGAGGAATAACAGATCGCATGATAAGATTGCAAGAGAAGTTAGGGATCTAGCTAACCGAATAAAAAAAGATGTGATGGGAGTTAATCTCCAAGACATTTTGTAACTTTTCATTGTTTGCTAGTTTAGGTGTTTGAGTGTACTTTTTATAGGACTATGTTTTGTTTTGAATGAGGGTATGCCCTCATTTGTCTCCACGTACTATTTGTTTATATTCAATATACTTATTTCATGTAGTAAAAAAAAAAAAATTAGTACCGAAGCGCTTCCAAAATTGAGGCCAAAATTGGAAGCATTAAAATGATGCTTTTGTTTGCTTCCGCACTGTAGAAAAACACTATTAAAAAAAAAAAATTTTTTTTTTTTTTTTAAATTAACATTTTAAACTAACCATTCAAAATTTCAAACTTGCAACACTTTTTATTAAACATGCTTTCATGTTTTTGCTTCTAAAAATCTTGTAACAAATTTATATTACCAAACAAGTTTCTAAATAGTGTTGAACACACTTTAAAAGTAGAAATATTGCTTCTGCTTCGGGTCAAAGCAAAAGCACAAAGCAACTTTGGTTGCCAAATGGGCCTTAGACTCCTGCAAACAGACCATATACACACCCCATTTTTGTAAAAGAACCTTTACCACCCTTCTTTTGTTTGGGTCATTCAAACCCCGAACATTCCAAGACACAATTTTGAGCTTTATAAGCACACAATCTCTTTCCCTCCCCCCCTCCTCCTCTTTCCCCCTTTTTTTTGATAAGTAAAGTATTATAGAAAGTGTTCAAAAGGGGAACGCATCTCAAGAATACACAGAGGCCGAAGCCGAAGCCAAAAGAGGGATCCTAAGGACCTAAAGAGGCCAGAAAGTGAACAATCTCCTCTATAGATGACAATATCTGCCGATACCCAAACAAAAAATGAAACTAATAATACAAAATTTCTAAACACCTATGGGAGACTCCTTTCCATCCAAAGATCTACTATTTCTCTTCTTCCAAATGCACCACCAAACACATAGGGGAGCTACCCTCCAAAAAAGGCGAGCGTGTGAACTCACCCCATACCCCCTCCAAGAGTCCATTAAACCTCTCGCCGTCTGGGGCATAACCCACTGCATACCAAACAAGCCAAAGATCATACTCCAGCAATTGTGGGCTACAGGGCAATGCAACAGCAAGTCATCTCACCATCCTTTTTGCACTTGCAACACCAATCAACTATAATCTACCTTCTCCTTCTGAGGTTGTCAAGTATCAGAATCTTGCCCCACGCTGTAGTCCAAACAAAAAATGTCACTTTTAGGGGAGCCTTCAAATGCCATACTGTCTTCCAAGGAAAATCAACCCCTGAGAAACCCAAAAAACAATAGAACAAGGACCGAACCTTGAATCTCCCCTAGGTAGAAGGCACCCAATAAAGGCAATCCAGGCCTCCACCATCCAGCATCTGTCTACACAGCAGATCAAGAAAGTCAGAAACATCGTCTAATTCCCAATCTTGAAAATGTCGCCGAAAATGCACATCCCAAGTAATCCTTCCGCTATCAAGCCAATAACAGTCGGCTACCAAAGCATGTTTGTCCACGGCAATCTTGAAAATCCTAGGAAAGGAACAAGCCAACGGATGTTCGCCACACCAAATGTCCTCCCAAAATTGATTGTCCTTGCCATCTCGAACTTTGAATCTGATGTGTTTCGAAAATTCATCCCAGCCCTTGCGAATAAACTTCCAAACCCCAACACCAATGGGAGATCTAACTGCACGAGAGCACCACCCACCTCTCTCCTCCCCAAAACGGCAAGAGATGACCCTCCTTCATAACCGATGTCGCTCCCCTCCAAACCTCCAAAGACACCTCACTAGGAGAGCCTTTTTAAAAGGGATCACCCTCCTAATACCCAAACCACCCAATTGAATAGGCCTGCATGCCTTCTCCCAACGAACAAGATGGTACTTAAACTCATCCCCAACCCACCCCAAAGGAAATTCCGTTGAGGCGTTTCAATCCTTTTCGCCACGGTGGCCGGAATCTGAAAAAGAGAGAAAGTATGTGGGAAGTCTCGCCAATGTGCTCTTCATAAGGTTGACCTTCCTGTCCTTCGAAAGATACTGCTTTTTCCACCCAGCAAGCCTTTTCTCAAACCTCTCAACCACAGGTCCCAGCCCCCCACCATTCTCGACGGAGAACCCAAAGGCAAACCCAAATGAGAAATAGGAAAGAGGAGATCCTGCATCCAAGCATCGTTGCAAGCTCGGCAATGTTATTCACCTCCCCCATAGGCATTAAGGAACTCTTCCCCACATTCACTTTTAGATCAGATACAACATGAAAACAAAACAGAACACATTTCAAATCTCTCATCTGGGACGCATCTACATCATAGAAGACTAAAGTATCATCCGCAAATAACAAATGGGAAACCTCAATATGATGATTCGAATCTCTGTCCACCCCGAAGCCCCTAATAAATCCCAGATCCACAGCCATCTTCATCAATCTGCTAAGAGCCTCCATAACAATGATGAAAAAAAAAAGGAGAAAGGGGATCCCCGTGTCTCAACCCCTGAGAATTGCCAAAGAATTCGGATGGAGCCCTATTCACAAGCACCGACAATCTGATTGATGAAATGCAGAACTCTATCCATCTCCTCCATCTCTCCCCAAATCTTAGCCTCTCCAACATATAAAGCAGAAAACTCCAACTCACATGATCGTAAGCTTTCTTAATATCAAGCTTACAAAGAACACCCGGACTACCACTACTCAACCTAGAGTCCACACATTCACTGGCCACGAGGGCTGAATCCAGGATCTGCTGACCATCAATGAAAGCATTTTGAGATTCTGAAATAACCCCATCCAACACATCCTTGAACCTTGATGCAAGGACTTTAGCTATCAACTTGTACAAACAACCCACCAAGCTAATAGGTCTAAAATCCTTCACATCAGTGGCTCCACCCTTCTTAGGAATAAGAGCAATAAAAGCAGCATTCAATGATTTCTTGAACCGCCCATAAGAATAAAATTCTCGGAATGTCCCCATCACCTCACTAGTCAACCCTGACCACATCCTAACTCTCCAACAGGAACCTCATAGTGAAACCATCCGGACCCTTTGTCGCCATTACAACTCTTCAGCGCCTTCAGCACTTCCTCCTTGGAGAAAGGAGCCTCCATGCCCTCACTGTCCAACTCTGAAATTGAGTCAAAATGCAGGCCACGAAGTCTAGGTCTCCAATTGTATGTCTTAGTGTAAAGTCTTTGGGAGTACGATACATACAATCCCTCTATTCACCTCCTCCTCCCTACATAAATCCACACCATCAACACGAATCCGCCCAATATGATTACCCCTCCTGTGAGCATTAGCCAACCTATGAAAGAATTTTGTATTGCGGTCACCCTCTTTGAGCCATAGCGCCCGTGACTTTTGACGCCACGAAATCCCCTCCAAAGAGGCAATCTTAGCAAACTTCGCCTGACACTCCGCCCTCCGAGTCCTCTGAGCCTCAATAATATTGCTTAAACCTTCTAACCTATTGATCTCTGCAATCTCAGCAAGGACCCTATTCTTTCTCCACTCCAAATTCCCAAACACCTCCTTATTCCACCTTTTAATCTAAGCCTTCAAGAACCGAAGCTTTTCAGCCAAAATAAAACTCGATGTGTCTGCCAATGTAGCCTCCTCCCACCAAGAACGGACTTTCTCCTGGAAGTCTTCCGCCCTAAGCCACATGTTCTCAAAACAAATGAGAGTGCGCCGGGAGCTCAACCCACCACAATCCAAAACCAACGGAATATGATCTGACGCCGATCTGGCTAGAGTTGCCTGTACCACATCCGGAAACTGCTTCTGCCAATCCCCAGAAACCAAAAATCTATCCAACCGAGAAGGAGTACCATCCTCCTTGCCAAAAGACCAAGTGAAACGTGTGCCTGCCATCGGCAAATCAATAAGATGATGGGCCTCAATAAAGTCCGAGAACTGCTCCATAGTTGAAGACCATCTTCCTCTTGAAGATATCTCCATTGGGGATCTTATCACGTTAAGTCCCCACCAACACACCAAGGAAGGGCCCACACTCCCCTCACAACCCTGACCTCGTGCCACAGAACGTGTCTCTCCCCATCCTGCACCGGCCATACACACCGAAGAACGCCCACCTAAAACCATCCTCCTCCATAACAGAAGCACAGGAGATAAAGAAACAACCCCTCCAAACATCCACCCGTGACACCCATCTCTTATCCCACATGACAAGGATACCCCCCGAAGTCCCAACGGCCTCCAAGGCTTCCCAATTGACAAATCTCCCGCCCCAAATGCTCTTCACTATCCTATCCGATATCGAGGTCATCTTCGTCTCCTGCAAACAAACCACATGAGCCCCCCACTTCCTCACCGCCACCTTCACCACCTTCCTCTTATCTGGGTCATTAAGTCCACGGACATTCCAAGAAATGATTCGAAACTTCATAAGGAAACAATGGCGTTCCCCTCCCCTCTACTCCTCCCTCTACCCCTCTCCCTCACCACCCCCTACTTTCCTTCATAATTGACATAGCAAATGAGATTCCTTACCTCCCTCTCCCCTTTCCAAGAAGAAGAGCTCATTCTAGATCTTCTCCTACCCCTTTTCGACTCCTTCCTCAACCCCACATCCCTCCCCTCCACCGTCTCCTTGAGGATCAGCAAAGCCTTCTCTTTTCCCTTCATAAGAGATACCCAACAGCTCACTTGTCGGCCCAATGTTATCCATAACCCATTCCTTCCCTTGATCACCGGATCGCTGCACAACAAAGTCCTCCCCAGTCCCTTCCGGAGGCAACATAGCCAACGGTTCAACAAAACCCAAATCAGAATCGTCTGCGCCATCCCATGTCAAGGCATTAGAAGGCCTGTCCCACTGCTCTGTTCTCACACTGCCTTCACCCCAACCCGACCCCGGCTCAGAATCATCACAAGACAGCTCAATAGAGCTGCTCTTGCCCCCCATCACTTTGTTAGCCTGAGAATCCAAATCAATACCTGCCTGCTTGCCTACCTGCAATCTGTGCTTTCTCAGTTCATGCAACAACAACGCTGCCAAATCATCATTAAGGGTGATGCGAATATCCCTTCCAACACAAACAACAGTCTTCTCATTACACCTGTCATTTCTAACAGTTGATGAACTCAGATCAGACTTCCCAGCAGGTTGGAAAGTAGTAGGCAAACCCTCTTCCCTTCGACACTGATAATCACAAAAGATGATCTCCCACAAGAAGAAGATGGAGAAGAGTGAGGGAAAGGAGACCTACCTGCATCGGGACCTTTGACAACAACCTCTTTCGCTCGCCATTTTTGTTTCTCTGCTCGTGACCATTTATGGTGAATGGCTCGGGGACGACGACGACGTGCATCAGCTTTCTGAATAACTGCAGACGGTTCGTGGATCATCTCACCAACTTCTTTACTCCTCCTTTCATAGTTAACATAGGAAATCAGGCATCACAATCAGAAAGCAAGGGCCCACCATCTGGATCCCTAACATCAGATGGGATCAAAATCCTCTCTAGCGCAACAGTAAATCTGTCCCAGCTGGTGAGAATGCTTTGGGATACATGTTACGAAAATGTTGGGACGTTGGCCTTGCATCACAACATTTTCCTAACGCATATCCCAACATTTCTCTAACGTACATCCCAGTCTTTTCCTAACGTGTATTCCAAATCATCCTCACTGGCTGGGACATATATACTGTTGCGCCAGAGAGGATTTTTATCCCATCAGATGTTAACAAACCTCTGCCCTGTTCTAAAATCCCAGAATCCAGCAAAGTTGGCTCAACAGCACTCGTCTTTGTCCCAGCCCAATGAAGCTTCAAGTCAGCTCTCAAAGCATCGGCGTCCCACCATCAATCAACAACTGGGTCTCTCGACCAACACACAGAATAACGCTCCCATCATCCTTGCCACTTGGGAGGAGCTTTAGCGGCCAATCATTCTCCACCACTATTTTGAATAACTATTGTTTTTGCTGAAGGTTTTGGGTACACCAGTACCTTTGAATAATTTTTGTCACAGGTTGTTGGATTTTGAGGGTGATATTTTGTGATATGGAAATAGAATTATAGAGGTTTCTCCAGAATTTTTTTTCATCCCATTTGAGTTAGTAGTTTATTTTCCATTAATTTCTTAAGATTGACTATTTTTGCTGAAAAATTTCTGTATAGCTGAACCTCTGAGTAATTTTTTTTCCATATCTACTATTTGATTTAGATGTGGAATTTAAGGTGTTGGGTGGTTATCTCACGCTTTCGTGGGGCGTGACATAAAGTCACAATGAAGGTTTAAACACATCAAGCAACATAGGGAAATGAAACATCTTTACAAGTTTATTTTGTGCCCATACAAGTAAATAAGTAGACAAGTAAACAAGATCTAAATGAAAGCACAAGAACGAACCAATGTCATCAATCATTTTCTTTACCTGAAAAATGTGAAAGAGTGGAACAATCTACACAGCCCAATAAGCAAATATACATGTTCTTAATTGAAGGTTAAATGTTCAAGTTATTAAATTATTCATGATGGTTCAAACAGTTAGATAACACTATAACAACAACGGGGCATGACAGTCACCACAATGAAGGTTTAAACACATGAACAAGCATGGGGAAATGAAACTTCTTTACAAGTTTATTTTTGCCCGTACAAGTAAATAAGTAGACAAGTAAACAAGATCTAATGAAATCACAAGAACAAACCAATGTCATCAATCATTTTCTTTACCTGAAAAATGTGAAAGAGTGGAACAATCTACGCAGCCCAATAAGCAAATATACATGTTCTTAATCTAAGGTTAAATGTTCAAGTTATTAAATTATTCACGATGGTTCAAACATTTAGATAACACTATAACAATGGGTGTTTCTGAAAGTCAACAAAATTATAGGGATTCCTGAACGCTAAAAATTAGAACTCTAATCAGCATGATAGCCCAACCAGAGGGGAGTTTAGTATAATTTACCCTTAGTGAATATAGTTTTAATTTAAAATTTTATCATATGCAAGACAAACCAGTCAAATCTAGATTAGCCTATTTTCCCATCTCCATTTAGTAGGTTAGCCAATTAAGGAATGCACTTCCCTCCAATTTGCATAAAAATCAAGTTAATCAATATACAGTTATATAAAAAAAATCAAGATATACAACAAAAATCTAGTTATTATTTTTTTGTATGATTTGTTGGCATATCCACTAAGAGTTCAGATCAATTCACATGTATATCTTTTCAATATGCATATGTATTAATTAGTCAAATACCATTGCAAAATATGCAACAATAACATGCTACAATCATATAGATTTGGAACATCTATTCCGTTGTTACATATATTGGGAGTTTTTATAAACACATTTAATGCAAGTAGTTGATCATAAGCTAATGAATTCTGAAAGCCAAATATTCATTATGAATAGACAATATGATTTTTTTTTTTTGATAAGTAAATAGACAATATGATTTATGAATGAGCATGTCGATTAATAGTGATACAGAAAAATAAATGTTTGAATGTTTAGAAAATAAAGGAGTGTTTTCTCTTTAAAGCCTTGAAGTCTACTACAAAGTGTGTGCATCAGGGTTTTATGTGTGTCCTTGACAGAAGAGGCCTTGCTTAGTATGTTGGAGTCTTTCGGCTAAGCCTCGATAGCCTAAAGGTTATTTTGGGGGCTAGACTTCTTTTAACACTGAAGAGGGATAAAAATCATTCTGTGATTGACAGTGCACACCAAAAATATTATTCATGTTAGAGATCTTTGTTGCCACTCAATCGGGCTCTCTCTCCGAACCATTCCTAATAGTTCTACAAACTGTCAATGGTAAACTTCTTATCTGATGGCTAGCATAACTTCATGACTTCATAGGCCTATGAATTCTCTTGGAAACAAGTTATGGGTATGAAAACCTGCAGATTTGCATTCTTTACATACTTGGGTATATCTCTTGGCGTGTTAAGCAAATTACGGGTACGACAACCTGCAGGTATGCATTTTTTATGTACTAGAAGCTTATAGTCTTGTCCTAAAGAAGCTCTCAATTTGGTTGTTTATGTGACAGAAATTTCAAGTAAAGTGCTGTTTCACTGGGAATTATAGTATGTATGATCTGTCAATCAATGCTGAATGTGTTACTGACGAGCATTTACTCTCTCTCTCTTTTTTAGGTGGTTAAAGTATTTGTATCTGTCTTTGGTGATGAAAGAGGGAGGGAGGTAGCCATTTCTGGGTTGAAGTCAAAGGCAAAATATGTTCGCCATGAGTTGGGGAGACGCATGAAGTTGCGTCTGACTCCTGAGATACGCTTTATAGAAGATGAATCTATAGAGCGAGGAAGCAGGGTAACAAGTTTTCAAATATGTTTTTGCTTTATGTGATTGTATCTCTATGTTCTAAAAGTAATTTTCTCTGTATATTTGAGAATTTTAGGTGTACGATAGAGCTAAAGAGCTATATTTCTAGCTTATATGATGGGTTGCTACGTATAACTAGGTTCTTTTTTTGTTGGTCAAAAGTTGATCCTGAATTTTCTACACTGCACTTAAAGTTCAGATAGCTGTTGATTTATATGTTCCAGTAAATAATTTTACATCCATGTTAGTACAGTAGTACACCACTGTCATGCACATAAGACATTACAAGTAAGGTGTCTCTGGAAAGATGATTTTTAGCACTTCAGCAAAGACTAGGCATCATCGTATGACCCTCTTATATTTTTAAGCCGCTCCCACAAATAGTCTGTTTTTGGCTCCGTTTCCTACATTTTGTACAATAATGTTGCAACTGATGGCTGTCAATCAGGTAAAAAAAAAAAAAATGTTGCAACTGATAGCTATCAGTTGAGACTTATCTACTGTTCATTTAGGAGATACTTTCACTGCACTCAAGTCATACACCACCGCGCAATTCACTGTCCCTAGACTTGGTCCTCAAGAAGAGCCTATGGTTCTTCCATTTCACAACCTATATCACTCCTCAAGAAGAGCCTATGATTTTCCCATTGCCGAACCTATGTCACGCTAGTGAGATTTTTGCAGACATACTTGCAATGCAGGATGTCATCCGCTGCCTTTAGGAAGCTTTGAGAATTTACCACTAACTTCGAGGGTTATTTGTATCTCCTGTCACCACAGGGGCATGTCCTATTCCCCCCCCCCCCCCCCCCCCCCCCCCCCCCCTTCCTATATGTAGACATTTGTTTGTTTAAGGTATCTATAATATGTATGGAGACAAAAATCTCGCTATATATCCTTTTTCTTTTATACCTTTGTTGCAAAATCTGTTTTTTGTGAAATTCTACCAGCATGAGCAGGAAACCCATGGAATATTCGTAAATAGTTATTTCAGAGTTCATTTTATATTAATAAAAAATCGGTTATATTCAAAATTCAGTTATCCCAACAACCTGTGAATTTCATGAACTATGCTTGTGCCACGGTGGCAAGAATTATATATTGAGCATGTATTAGTTATCTCATTTTCAAGGGTTATTGCATGAAATAATTAATTTCAAAATTTGGAGAATGAATGCAACAGTGTTCCACTTATAAAAAAAAGGATGTAGCATAGTGTTCCAATTATCTTGCTTTCGAAACTTGTAAAGACCAATATATGCACCTTTTTGCATTCTTGACCAATATTGTGGTGTTGGTTTTTATAATTTTCAGGTGATTGCAATATTGGATAGGATAAAGAATGAGAAGAAGATTCCAGGAAGCCAAGTTGATGACCAAGATGAGTTGGCTAATCTACCCCAGGATGAGAGGGATTGGGATGGTGATGATCTGGATGATGAAGGCATTATTTACATAAAGTAGTCGCTTCCTAATTGCTCAGCACTAAGGTGGTTGGGATTTCTGAGCACAGCTTCGCTGCTCCAGAGGTTAGTTTTGTCCTCGAATAATGGCCCTTGCATATTTTACTTAAAACTATGCATAGTTAAAAAAATCTGCAAGAGTTTCCTGTATCTGGTTACGAGTGTACTGATTACACTAGCTTGCTGAAACAGGACACATTACTAACTTTAAGATGCTCTGTCCGAGTCTGTCATACCAGTTGATGTACTGTTAAACCAAAACAAGTTATCCAACTTGGTTATTGAAAGGTAAACTTGGATAGACAACAGCGAGAATATTTTGTGAGGGTGGTTTTTCATCTGTATTGAGAACCAAGATAGGAGGATAGTGATACAGTGCATGTTGGAAAGGTTGGCATTGTGAATTAATTTGGATGCCTCCAGTAACTCCTCGGAGGGAGGTCAATTTTTTAGTGATAATTGATGTCTAAACGGAACAATTTTCTTGCTAAATGTAATAGTAGCTTAGGAGTTCCCTACTTCGACACCTTTAACGGTCGTGATATTTGCTTAACATGATGTAAACTTCGATTTTAGTTAACAAAACATTACGAGTTTGTGATGGCGCGTCATGTTATGCAGGGTGGAGGCCTCACTTGCAGACATGGGATTGAAGTATGTCTCCTGACTTGCCACTGTCGTCAGAATCACGGCTCAAGCGAGTGACCCTGTTCGAAACTCCTGTAATTGTCTTTTCTCCTCCATTGTACTCATTTTCAGTGCTTTCTTTTTAATGTTTCAGTTAATATATGATGTTGTATAATGAACTTTTTGAACTTCAATAGTTAGCAAAATCACTTCATACCTTCAAATTCATCGTGAAACAAAAAATCATACATTAAACAAAAAATGTAAATTCAGATACATAAATAACTAATACACTAATGCCACAAAAGTAATATACCTATGGAGAAAATTCTAACATGTAATAGGACTAATGGTATGATTATGTTGTAAAAAGTGATGGTGTGCTTAAGGAAGCTCATAACATTAGTACAAAAATTACAAATCCAACTCACATATCTATCATATTGGGAAAACTTTAATTGAAGACTTTAGTCCAATGTTTTATTTGGGTGTCATTTTATTAATCTGCAACCTTGTTTTGGCGCTAATTAAGCATCTACACCAAAAAGGAAAAAAGAAAATAAAAAGAAAAGGAAATATTGATGGTGGGTGGGGTTGGTTTATTTTATTTTATTTTATCCTAAACTCAATTTAAACTAAGACACTCAACCAAATCAAAATAATAGTAATTGTTGAGGGATTTATATATTTAAGTCACACCCTCCCTAACAACTTAAACTGTTGTAGTAGGTGGTAGTTAAGATGGTATCAGAATCAAATGTCTTGAGTTCAAACTTCACTGAAAAACACGTGTTGGATCAAAAAAAGGCCGCAAGTGAGGGGACGTGTTGAGGGATTTATATATTTAACTTAAATCCTCTCAAACAACTTAAGCTAATGGACAGATGGTAAACTTGTGCTGATGAAGATTTGTTTGGTGACTTGTGCTAATGAAGATTTGTTTGGACTACAAAGTTTAATAAATCTACATGGTTCGCCATATCGGTCAATACGCGACGTATCAGCTGATTTATTACTCTTTTTATGGGTCCAATACCATTACACACCTTCATGAATTAGTCAGTTTACATCGATATTTGTCCGAATTCATTACACCGTAACCGCAATTGATACTGCAAAACATGGTTTACAATTATTACTTGGAGACAAATTTGGACAATAAAGAAAGTGGTTTGACCTAATATTTCATTCAGTCTGGCCTTCTTGTTTATAGCAAATGTCGTATGAAATGCTCCATAAAGAGTTTGTGTAGACACCAACCCACATAACAATATATGAGTTAGGAATTGGAATCCAACTTTAACTAAGGAATTGGAATCCAACTTTAATTATTGAAAATTATGGCACTTGGTGCTTGTATCATGTCTTGACAATTTGAAAAGCCAATCAATGTGTTCTCTATCTCCGTACAGTGTATATATATATATATATATATATATATATATATATATATATTATAGGGTAAAGTGCATTAAACCCCCTTGAACTATTGGTTATTTGCAAGAAACCCCCCTGAATTACAAAAAACCCCCCTGAACTATGATTTTGTTGCAATTTACTCTCTTAAACTATTAGTCATTTGCAAGAAATCCCCCTGAACTACAAAAACCCCCCCTGAACTATGATTTTGTTGCAATTTACCCCCCTGAACTATGATTTTGTTGCAATTTACCCCCATGACATCAGTTTCCGGCACAGAAAATTTTGAAAGACCAGTTTACCCTTATAACACACTGCGTCGTTTTAACTTATACACTTATTACAATTTTTTTTTTTTTTTCTGCCAAAAGATGCTTTTCACCTAACACAACCCAAAACAGAGAGCTAGAGAGAGAGAGAAAAAAGACCAAAGTAATCCGAGGTCGGCGGGATGGCTCGGTCTCGGATGATGGCGGCTTGTGCGCGGTGGACTCGGCTGTGACGAGAGCTCGGTTGACTCGGCCGTGAACTGTGGAGGCGGTGGTGAGCTCAAGGGGGCTCGGCGGTGAACTGTGGATGGCTGTGTGCTCGAAACACGGACGGCGGTGTGCTCGGCTATGGAGATGGCGGAATGGGTTGGCGAGCTTGGAATGGACAGTGGAATGGAGCGGCGAGCAAGGTGAGCTGAACAACGGGCAAGGCGGTAACGGCGATGGGCTGACGCAACGGTGCAGAGAAGTGCGATATATATGGCCGACAGATCTGGTGGGTGGTACAATGGCTATGATGGAGCTATGACAGGAGACCCACCGATCCCAGCAACAGATTCCTTAGCTTATCCAAACACTCCCCAGACGACATCTACCACCCCGATCCTAGCTACAAATTCCTCAGCTTCATCGTCCTTTTCAGTCAATCAATTCGCACGGATGGGGTAAACTGCAAAAAAATATATAGTTTAGGGGGGTTTCTCGCACGTACCCCAATAGTTTAGGGGGGTTTTTTGCAACTTTTATAGTTCAGAGGGGTTTCTTGCACATACCTCAATAGTTTAGGGGTTTTTTTTATAATTTTTATAGTTCAGGGGGGTTTCTTGCACATACCCCAATAGTTCAGGGGGGTTTAATGCACTTTACCCTATATTATATTATATGTCACATCGATTAGGCTATCCCCGCTTTGTGTTTTGTGAGGGATTTTTGTTAGAAAACTTGTTTGTTTTTGTCAAAAGGCAAGTGATTAATTAAACCCATGGTTAAGTTTTTTTATTTTTTTTTTCCTCCTCCTGACAACGGAGTCAAAAGGCCCCAAAACAAAAGCAAAACAACCACCACAACTAACCCCCAACATCCTCCAACGCAAGCCGCTGAATTGAAGAAGGAATCGGCGATAAAAGTTGATCCATCTCGAAAGAAGATGGAGATAGCTGAGCCAAAGCATGAGCAACCCGGTTGCCAGAATGACGAACATGAGACAAAAACAGCATGAGCAACCCGGTTGCCAGAATGACGAACATGAGACAAAAACAAAGACTGAAACATCTGCAAGTCCCGCCGGATATCATAACAGAGAGAAGCAATTTCAGATGGTGCCACCGCGTCGTCATTCAGCACCCCCTCAACAATAGCCTTAGCATCGGATTCAAACCAAACACAAGAAAAACCCAATTCCGATGCCTAAAACACCGCACGCTAACAAACAAGAGACTCAGCAGCCAGAGCTGAAGAGGAAGGAAACTGCGGGAAAACAACCACTTGAAGAACCATGTTGCGGAAATCACGAAAAACTGCCCCACCCCCTCCCAATGACATACTCCTCGAAAAGGAAGCATCGAAATTACACTTGACCCGTCCAACCGGAGGTGTAATCTAAGAACCCACCAACAGAATGGATGAAGCCGGATGAAAAGCAGAACAATGAGACCTAGCATTATTAATTTCCCAAAAACTGGCTACTGCACGCTCTACAACCAAGTCAGGCCCCATAGCACCCCTTCAAACACTAAATGATTCCTCACCTTCTAAATACTCTAAGCACAGAAAGAAATCAAACTAAGAACCCCCGCAGAATCAGACGAATTTATAGATGTTTGAACAAAAAAAGACCAACCTTCCCAAAAAGAAGAAATATTAGAATCAGAAAAATCAAAACCGAATGGTGACAGCTTCCAAACCTGTAAAGAATGAGGGCACATGAATAATAGGTGCACCACAGTCTCCGCTGTATTACCACAACGAGGACACAACGATGACACACCACAACCCCTCGCCATCAAGGAAACCGTAGTGGGTAGCGCTTGATGACAGCATCGCCAAAGGAAATGTTGCACCTTAGATAAAGTCTGACAACACTATATAGAATTTCACGAGCCATCAGACACCTGAATACCTAAAAAATTAGTCATCGATAGAGCAAGCTGATAAGCGGAACGAACGGAAAAAAAAACCAAACTTGTTAAGTCCCCAGATTGGAACATCCGGTTTATCCCAACGACTAATATGCAATTTCATAATTTCGCGAACCACAAGAGGAGAAAACAAAATACGCAAGGTTAAGTTGACTAGCCCAACTCCTTTGGTCTTCTAGTTCAATGGGCTAGTCTCAATTGGTCCATTTGGTTGTAAGGAAGTGAAGACTTCAAGTCTTGATGTGAGTGGTACACAACATATTCTTGGTAAGTTTATCTTGTAAATGAGAATATATTTTGTAATATATATATATATATATATATATATATATATATATATATATAAAATAGGGGTGACAATAAGTGTTGGCTGTCGTGTTTGTGTAGTGTTAGAGTATGAGTATTATGTTAAATGGGTCGACATGAACACAATACGATTATTATTTGTGTCAAAAAATCCTAACACGAACATGACAAGATTATTACATGAGTAATACGACACAACACATGTAACCTGTTTGATAGATTGGTCAAGATATAATATGATACGAAACAATACGATAAGACATGTTTAAGTCATTGCCGACTTAAACATGACACGTTTATTCAACACATTTAGCTAAACAGGTTATTTTTAATACGAACACGATACATTTATTTGACACATTTGGATAAATGGGTTTAATCGGATTATAAACGGATTGATAAGTCAAATATGAACACGACACGTTTAATTATTGTATCAATTCGGGTCGACATAATTACAACACGAATACGATTAAGCCAATCTCAAATTCACTTATCTCGTGTTGTGTTAAATATAGCCACCCCTAATATATATACAGACAACATTACACTCATTAGCAGAGGTTCAATTACATCATTGTATTACTGTCGAGAGAAATATATTATGTCTTTCAATTACATGTGGAAGTTTTTATTAGGCTCAAGAATGGTCATGGGATTGTAGCTACTAGCTAGAACTAAGGCGAGGTCTCAAGCTTACACTTTAGGAATGAGATGACCTAAAAAAACAAAAGATACTGGTACAACATGGAAATATAAAAAAAAATAATGATATAATATCTATTATTTTATATATAAATAATATTTTTTGCCATTTTATCGATGAATAAAATCATTAATTCGGAAGTTAGAACTAAATGTTCATTACTTTTGTTTTTTTAAATTTTGCATTAATTTTCTAATTAAGTCACAATATATTTTAAACTGCAATGAATTTCATATTTCTAAAAATGTAATTACAAAATCACCTTGTTGTACACTAAAATTATTCAAAACGTATCTTTACCGTGTTCCTACTGCATCCAACTAGAAAATAAAATATTCAAACTGTTAGGATAATTCTACCCATATCCAACACGTGTTTGAGCTGTA